TTCTCCCTGAAAGCAAGGCTTGATACAAGCATGAACTCATTGCATTTTCTCCAGCCTCACAAGTCCCATGGGGCTCTCCTGGATTCAGGCCTCCCTTTGGTTGAAGGTCTAGACTTTATTTGGGCTGTTTTGCAAACCTTCTCTTTTCTTTCAGAGTGAGGGCTTTGATCTCTGTCTTCTTGGACAGGAGATTCAAGTAAAGAGCTTTGAAGAGAACTTCCTTTTTTCCCACTTGTCTCACAGCAGGAAAGAAAGGGTCAAGGTTTTTCTGCCTCTATTTCAGGATAGCAGGTTCAGGTCAAGGGATTGTAAGTATGGCATCAGTGGTTTCATTTCACATAGCGGGCTTTTAAGATTGCAGCTGTTTTCTACTATTTGAGGTTGAGACTTGGTTTTTCATCTATGACCAACTCTGGTTAAACACCTGCTAGATTCACGTATAACACTTATGGAGGACCCTCGTGTAGATATCTAGGAAAGTGGATCCACCTCACCTGGAATGGTCATAAGCAGCAGTAAGCAAAATTGGATCCTTTGAAATGTCTAAAACAATTCATTTGTACATCTGACTGGAAAAAGAAAAAAGCTGGTTTTAGAGTAAGACAAACCAAATGGGAGACCTAGTTTATGTTCCTCCCAGATGAAATCTGATGATAGAAGATTTGGAAGCGATTTTCTTTTTTAGAGCTCTGTGTTCAGAAGTCAACTTAATTGAAAGCTAATATTTAAGCTGTAATTTTTTGGGTGGGAAACGCCTTTTTGCTTTTTCCTCTTTTGAATCCTATTTCTGGAATATTATGCATTGACTAAAGTGCCTTTTTAAAAATGTTTGATCCCTCTCTTTGCTCCCTATCTTGTTAGCATGATTTTTGCTGAGAAAAATGTAAAGCTTCATTGGCTTCCTTTAGACTATCAATCTGTTGATTTCTTGTTTCATTGCCCTAATCCAAACATTTATTAGCTAGGCAACACTGCATTTGCCACTTTTAAACATGAATGGTTGTTACTGAATGAGGTACTCATTTCTTTGGGCAGAAATAAAGGCAGGTTTGTACACTTGGGGGTTGTGGGAACACTCACCACCATGGGATATGACTCATGTGGGGCATGGGCTGTCACAGAGTGTCCTGGTTGGCATTAGGTCACCCACCAGACTCAGGGTAATGTCCTTGTAGCAAGGAACACCACGGATATGTTGTGCTTCCAAGTCCCATGGTGTTTCCCTCTTTCTGGGGTCCCAGGATCCAATATAGAAGTGATGTTAGCAAAATTTTGGTACTTGTCCTTGAGGCCAAAGAAAGAACAAGGACAAATGGTTTGAGGAAAAGGAAAGAGAAGTGTATTAATTTGCTGGCATATGAGGAGGATGGTAGACTCCCATCTTAAAGTACCATCGTCCTATTTATAAGCAGAAACACAGAGCTTTTAAAAGGAGTGTTCAGCTTTGGGCTATTGTTGTTTAACTATAGCATCTCCAGTAAAGACAATCTCATGACCTCAGCTGGAAGAATTCCATTGAGCCATCTCCTGTGGTACAAAGAACAAAGAACACATCCCTGTCCCTCTGATTACTGGCCTCAGGCAGTTTCAAAAAAAATATTTTTGTGTAGTATTAATGAGAGATGGTAAAAGGTTTGTGTTCACCTTTTCAGTAAACTTCAAGAAAAAAAGGGGGGCTGGAGGAAGTGTTCACCTCATGTTATTTTTATTAGGTCTTTTGATTATTTGGAAAACTGAGTCTCCTCTCTCTCAAAAAGTAAAGGTTTTTGCTTTTTGAAATTTTTTAATTGTCATTTTGGCTAAATTGTTACAGGAAGTTTAGTACTTGTCCCCAAGGCTGTATCACTGAGAATGAAGAATGAGAAGTGGTTTGAGGAAAAAGAAAGAGAAATTTATTAATTTGCTGGCAAATGAGGAGGGTGGTAGACTAGCATCTCAAAAGACCACCATCCTATCTTTAAGCAGAAAAACAGGGCTTTTTAAAGAGGGGAAAGGTTCAACAGTTGAGCCTGGGTCTACGTGACTGAGTATCACATGTGTGGCTTCAGATTATTGTTGGTTAACTATAATTGGTGGTTTCAGTCAACTTTATTTCCAGGGACCATGATCTGATGACACTTGTCCAAACAATTATGATCAGCTATCTCTTGTGGTTTAAGATACTAGAAGACAAACAGCAAAGAACATTTTTCTGTCCCTTTGATTACTGGCCTCCAGAAGAAATGCAGGTTTTAATTCCTGAAAAGAGTGGGGAGTGTTAAAGAGACAACTCATAAAACATTTTGTTGTCCTTTTTTCAGAGATTTACCTCTGTTAAAAAATGAATGACCATTATTTTTCAGGGATCTGTGATCCTATTTTGATCAAGTGTTTTAAACTTTTAATGTTTGACTGACTTCCCCAAATCAAATTTCAAATTCTAAAATTAAGTCTTTTCCAAAAGGAACCCCTGGAAGTCCAAGACAGACATATTAAGCTTATTTAGTATGTTAAAATTGTACAGGAAGCATTTTCAAATAAGAATTTGAGTTATATTTATATGGAGAGGTTACTAATATGTGTCCAAAAATTATGTGAGAGTCCTAAAATTTTGATATGTCTTAATATATCTTCTTCAACAAAATTATGGTTATTAATTATTAATTATGGTTAAAGTATTATATGCCACAGAAATAACCAGGTTTCCTCATCAATCACATCTTTATGGATACTCTAAGTCTTTTGTCACTCACAGTTATTATTTTACTTTGGTACTTCTCAAAAAGTGGTTTATAATTGGCTACAGTTCAAAATTGGTTTTCTTCAAGATTCATAGAAAAGAACCCTGGAAAATACTCATGAATACAGGTTTCTGATAACGTTGGAAATCACATCACTGAACTAAGTAAAAATTTTCAGAGCACTAATAAAATGATGAATTCATGAAGATTGCTAAGCCAACATTAAGCAGAAAAAGAATTGATTACACGGAACTGAACTGATAGAAGACTGAAATGATTTTTAATAACTTTTATTTGAAACATTGTTGATTCTTTTTATATTTTGTTTTACAGAGTCAAGAAAACTTTTTTATTTGGAGTTATTTATATCTTATAGCAATTGGGTAAAATATACCTTTGTGAGCAAAGTTGAAACATTTGCCTTTTTCTCCACCCAATGTCTCCAAGATTGGGAAACTATTTATGAGTATTCTTATTTTGTGGCAATCTAGTTTTTTATGTAAGTTCAATAAGAATCTGTTTCATGTAACAAGACACAATTGGAGACACTGGTTCTTTTACCAAGGTTTTAACTGGAATGGCATAGTTTCAGATATGACCAGACTGCTTTGAGGAGTTGACATTGACTTTGTAGAACTGATCAAAAACCCCTTGGATCTCCAAAACTTCACAAGGACAGCTCCCACAACCCAATTCACTCAGTTCAACTGGACAGTTATGAAGACTTGTCATAAACAACACCTTATTTTTAGCCTTTCACCACCCAACCATACCTCTCCCAAACTTCCTAGGTCTGCCTGCTGCCCTTATTCTTATCATTGGTGCTAGTCCCACATGCACAGTTAGCCTGGAGCTTCACATTCCTGGAGTCTCTTTTCCATTGCTCCTCTCACCACTCTTGGAATTGGCTTTAAAAAAAATACCTTAACATCCTCCTGCAATTGTAGGCAGATTCGTGATCAGTGGTTGATACATTTTTGGAGGTCATTCCTGGCTATAGTTGCTAATTCCTCTTCTACACTTCATCCCAAAGTAAAATTAGTTTTCATTTGTAATTTATGTTATTTTCCAGTTATATGTAGAAGTAGCTTGGAGCTTTGATGCTGAAGGAGTTCAGGAAATTTCACCCCAAAACATGACTCCTTTGGTATAAATAATATTTTGAATTAACGGTCTTTAGAGATCAACAGGCCTTGGAAAGGGCTTTCACTCTATCTGCATAAAAACCCATCAAAAATAATGTTATTTATGACCCATCAAAAATAACACTGGACTTCCCTTCCCTTGCCTGCTATCTCAATATATTACAGGAAAGCATATCAAGAATGCAACAAGATTTGACCCAAATAATTTTAAACATAGTGTATATATAAATATAAATATAGTGTAAATATAAAGATAAAAAATAATTTTAAATATAGTGTCTGTCTCTCAGGTTAATGTAATGTCCAAAGAGAATCAAGTCAATCTGTTACAAAGCAGTCTGTTACAAATCAATCTGTTACAAATCAGTCTGTTTCTCCCCATCCATTCATTCTCCCTAGTAACTATTTATTGCCCTGAAACAGAATTACCTGTATTCCTCATCCCACTGCTCCTCTAAAATGAGATTATATAAACTTCTGTACTCCATTGGGATATCGGGTAATCACTCTGTGATTTTCCTTATGCACATGGTAAATAAAGCTCTTTCTCTTGTTAATCAGCCTTGTTGTGAGTTGATCTTTTAGTGAACCTTCTGGGGTGAAGAAGAAGTTTCCCCTCACCCCCACAATATGCTAAGCTATATCAGGCTTATCTTTATTAGAATATTAGGTTCTTGAGGGAGGATGATATCTAGGCTTAACCAAGATGTTTTCTAGACAGAACTGTTTATAACCAGTGTGGTCTCTGAGTGTCCTGTGTGTTAAGTGGTTTTAGTTGCTCTGTCACACGAACAATAGACTTCTTAATTATATGTTCTTTTCTGAAATGTTCTCTTAATAAATAGGTATGAAAATCGTTGAGCAACTTAAAGACTTTAAATGTATTTCCCTCTCTTATCAATAAATTATTGCTTCATATAAATGATATTGGAAAGATCTTATTTTCTTTTTCAGAACTAAAAAGTCAATCACAAGACAGGCTTTAGTTTTTATCTTAAAGGTTACACTTTTGGGGGTTAGTTTTACAAGAAGAAAAAAAAAACCCACAGTTGAGAAAATGAGTTGATGTTAATATTCTTTACAGGAAATTCCTGTAAAGGAAACAGGCTTACTCACTCTTTCAACTAAACCCAACCACAAACCTTATCTAGTCAAGGAGTCTGGTCGAAGAAGAGTTTTACGTGCTTCATCTTGAGGGCATTTCCTTCTACTGATAAAGGTAGTTTATTTGATTTTCCTCTGTACGACCATGCATTTCACAATGTTAATGGTCATTTACAAAATGCCAAAGGTTTTCTTTTTTCTCTCTAGGTATAATTAATTCAAACTGTGTGAGTTAAATGGCTATTGTGTCTTCTCCAGGTATCCCTCTGATTAGGAAGAAATATAGTAGAACTCTTTGAAAATGGATGTTTTCACATGGTTTTCTTCAGATACCAAAAGCCGGCAGTCACTGAAATAAGGACTTGAAGTTCCTTCCTCTTTTTTTATGTCTTAAGAACAGGAAATAAGGTAAGACAATAGTAAATTTTTTTTCACTAGATTTCCTAACCCAAAAATATAAATTGGGAAAAGAGCTTAAGTAATTTTCAAAATGAATTGCTAATACAATTACTTTTCCTGACATATTGTAGAATAACAGATGTACTATCTCACTAGTATAATTTACATCTTCATATATATGGAGTTTTTATAAAAAACTTTATCACTTTTTTAAAAACTGGTGGTTATAAAATAAATCTATCCATAGTGCTTTGAGCATTTTACAGGAATAGTTAAGAGTAGAGAGATTCAAGATGTTTGCTGAATTTGAATGCCCATTTTAACTACCCATTTTAAGATTTTTGAGGGCAAGCACCACACCCTTCATTTTCTCTTATCTTTAGACAATGGGGTATGTAGCTACCATGGACCATGTAAAAATCATAATAATTTAATATTAGTTTCAATTAAATACTGTTACTATTATACCAGACCAAATCTCTATTTGCACATGTGTCCTTCATGCAAAGTAGTTTAAGTCTGCCTTTGACAGTGAGATTCCTCTTCCTGGGCCTCAGATCCCCTGTTGACACCTACCTACTCCAGCGTTTTCCTCTCTCTCCTCCCCTTCTCCCATCAAAAGCTTTGGTCAGCGAAAATTTTAATTCATTATTTCCCCCAAAGATAGTTGAAGATATAACTGACTGAAATCTTCATACTCTGACAAAAGAAATATGATTTTCAAAAAATGCATCTGGAAAATGCTTTGGGAACGAGACCTGCAGGTTCTTGAAGCCCTGTCAGGCTCACATTCTCTTTTGTGAGGGACTGCATGTGGCGATGGGAAAATCAGAAGCTTTGAGACCTTCTACACCTGGAGGGCAATCTCTCTTCTAAATCCTACCGGGCAACGTGAGCCTTGGCTGTCCATCTGTAAAATGAGAAAGACAACACTCGTCTTTACAGAAAGTAAATGAGTGCAACATCATTTTACTTCCACGAAAGCGTCTGCAGCCTGGTTTGGCTTTAGTTGCCCAGTGCTCAATAAATTATATACTCTGTACTTGCATGGATCCTTATGATTTTCTGAAGGATTATGGTGATGGTGGAATTAAAGGCATTACTTAGACATTAGATGGTCTTTTTTTTGAGACCGAGTCTCACTCATTGCCCAGGCTAGAGTGCCATGGCGTCAGCCTAGCTCACAGCAACCTCAATCTCCTGGGCTCAAGAAATCTTTCTGTCTCAGCCTCCCGAGTAGCTGGAACTACAAGCATGCACCACCAAGCCCGGCTAATTTTTTCTATATATGTTTGTAGTTGGCCAATTAATTTCTTTCTATATTTTTAGTAGAGACAGTGTCTCGCTCTTGCTTAGGCTGGTCTCGAACTCCTGACCCTGAGTGATCTACCCGCCTCGGCCTCCCAACGTGCTCGGATTACAGGTGTGAGCCACTGCGCCCAGCCTATATGGTCTTAAAAAGGTAGACACTGACAAGCCATAAGGTGTGAGTGTGTTTTCCCATATACATGAGATTTCTAGAATGGGCTTTTCTGTGTGTTGTTCGATTGACAACAGTGCTGGCAACAGCTACTAGAACTCAGCGCTGATCCACCTCTCCAACGTCTATGCTTGTCCCTGAGCAGGGCTTCCCCAAAATGTCCCTTGGATTGTAGTGATTGCCCTGACCCTTGTTTATGATGTGGGTTCCATTGTTCTTTTCCCTGAGAATCTGATTTAATGAGTCTTGGTGAGCACAGAAATCTGCATTTGTAACAAGTGTTTTAGGTGATTCCTAAAATCAAGATAATTTGAGAAACACTATCCCAGAGCCAAAGCTGCAGCCTGGAATCAGCCCCAGGCAGCCTGAGGTCCAAGGTCAGCAGGTGGGTGCATCACTAGGGAATGTTTGTCATCGCAAGTTTGGGATGGGAATTCTGAGCGCTGGAGACTGCTGAGTGCCTTGATAACCAATTTACTACAAGCTTGGACATGCAGACATGGAATATGAAACAAGTATATGAAACAACAATTCTACTATAGTGTGGCTAAATTCTGAACAAGTGGTTATTGAACTTCTGTGGTTGGCTAGGCACTGTTCCTGGAGAGAGGATGCAGAGCCCAGAAAGACAGACTCAGTTTCTGCTGGCATGGAACTTTTATTTTATTTTATTTTAGACAGAATCTCACTCTGTCCCCCCAAGCTAGAGTGCCATGGCATCAGCCTAGCTCACAGCAACCTCAAACTCCTGGGCTCGAGCAATCCTCCTGCCTCAGCCTCCGGAGTAGCTGGTACTACAGGCATGTGCCACTGTGCCCGGCTAATTTTTTCTATATATTTTAATTGGCCAGTTAATTTCTTTCTATTTTTAGTAGAGACAGGATCTCACTATTGCTCAGGTTGGTTTCGAACTCCTGACCTTGAGTGATCCTCCTGCCTTAGGCTCCCAGAGTGCTAGGATTACAGGCGTGAGCCACCGCTCCTAGCCGGAACTTATATTTTAGTTGGGAGAAAAGTTTTAGGCATGAGATATTTTCAAACAATAATATATGCAAGACAAAAGTAATGTAAAATGAGTAACAGGGGAGATGGCTTCTGGTGAGGAGGGAGGGAGGGACATCTTTATCCAGGTGGTCAGGGAAAGTCTCTCCAGGAAAGTAATCCTATAGGGTTTTGTACATGGTGCATTGGAATCAGCTCTTTATGTCATGGGTGCTGGGAGTTGGTGGAGTTTTCAGCATGAAAATGAAGTTCTCAAGGTTGCTTTTTAGGAAACTGTCACAGGGGGCTCTAGCTGGAAAAGACTTTCTTTCAAGGGTCTCGTAGGTAAAGCAAAGGCAAGTGGGGAGATGACATCTTTAAAGGCAGTTGCTCATCCTGCCTGGTTCCTTGACTGCAGGCCTTGTAAGAATCAATGGGGATAAAAAACACAGTGACCCTAGTGCCCTCCACCCCCACACTCACCTGGTCTTCAACCCGAGGCTCTGCAGGGCTCATTTCCTTCTCCCCTGAGCAGGCCCTTGCTCTCAGCAGACCCTGAGGTTAGCAGCCAGGTGGCACCGCCCTGGGCTGGCAGCTCCCACCTGGCCAGAGTGGTCTGGGTAGAGCTCCTCATTCTGCCATGCTCGGCCTGCCTCCCACCCACATTAATCTCTCCGCGGTGTCGGGAGCCCATCTCTACTGGCCTCTGTCCCGGGAGGAATGAGTCCATGCCCTCCCTCCTCGCTGTCACTTGTACTTGACCCCGCTGGCAGGCTGACTCATCCCCTCTCAGGGGAATCTTGCCCAAAGTGCTCTCACTTTCAACAGGAGCCACAACGCCTTGCTTCCCAGCTCTGGGCAGCCCTGGAGGGCGCACTTCTTCCACACTCCTGGTTCCCTCCTCTGCTGTTTTCATCCTGCAGCCTCTGTCACCTCGCCCCGCTGCTCATCTCTCAGGGGCAAACCCGGTGGGCACTTCTCAGTCTTTTCCGTGCGACTCCTCGGCAGGTGCTGACGTTGATGTCTAGTCTCTCCGCCAGACTTCCTCTGTCCTGAGCGCAAAGGTGGTCTCTCCACTCTGCTGCTTGCCTTCCTTCTGGGTTTGTTAATTCTTTATTTTCCCTAGGCCCTTGCCCACTCTTAAAGGCTGATGTTCCTCCAGGGACCTCATCTGCCCTTCCTCTGGGACTGCAGACTCCCCACTTATGCGGCTGGCACCGGGACCCCCCTCTGTCCCAGCCCACCCGCACTGCTGCCCTGGGAACCCTCCAGTCCCATTCCTTAGACTCTTCAAACTGAATGTTTCTGCTAGAGAAACATTAATTACTAGTAATTAATTCATAATGATTAAAATGACTTCCTCCGTGTGTTTGTGTGTGTGTGTGTGTGCATGTAGTGGGGGGATTGTTACAGATGAAGAATTTTATAAGGTGAGAAAAGCTAAGTATGTCTTTATGAGAAAAGATGGAGCTACCTGGAAAGACAGGTCCTGGGAAAGCCGGGGTGGGGTGGTGGCTGTAAGAATGGCCTAAGAGCACAGGAAAGAGTGAGGAGACACTTCCATGGCTGGATAGATGCAGAGGAGAGATACAGAGAAAGAAAGTGATGCATTTTGTTAGAGGCTTAAAAAAATCAGGGATAATATGAGGAGACAATTTTTAAAGGGAACTTTTAGAGTGGTCATTTAATATTTAATGTAACTTCCCTCCCTCTCCTTCCTTCCCTTCTTCCTCTCTTTTGTTCTTTTCTTCCCTATTTATTTTTTTCTTTCCTGTCATCACCGCACCTTGTTTCTTTATTGCATTTTGTTGTAATGATTCATCTGCATGTTTATGTTGACAAGGACTCTTTCCCTGGACAACTTTTAGTCAGGTCCCCTGAGCCTTCTTCTCCATTTGGCCTCAGCCTTGGCGCCCATCCTATCTTTGGCCTGCCCAGCTCAGTCTTAGCAAAAAATCCTGCTGAGTTATCATTCACTCTTGGTATCTGATCACTGTTGATATCTGAGCAAGTTCCTCATCCACCACCCTTGATATCTAAGTCCTGCATTTAGAAAGAATCCTGTTAGGTCAGTTTAGCATGATTCTGTGTTTCCTTGATGTGTCTTAGTAATTTTCCATCCATTAACCCCCACCCTGCTCCTTGGCTATAAATTCCCACGCAACCAGTTATGTTGGGAGGTGAACTTGCTCTCTTTCTCCTGTTTCAATCAATACCTGTGTTGCAATAGTCTTGAGTAAAATCTTCTTTATTGTTTTAATGAGTGTCAGAATAATTGTTTCTTTGACCGTATTCCCCATACTGTGATAGACCCTTGAGAACAGGCACTGTACCATTTACTACCCGCCCTCCACTTCCCTTAGAGAGCCTATGACAGTGTGGAAGTGTTTTAGTGAGAAAGTTTAGCCAAAGTTCAGGGGGAACTTACTATTGCCTCAGGGATTACACATAAATTATTTTTAAGTTAATGATAATAGTTCAGAATTCTAAGAGACACAACAAAACTGTTCTGTAGCTAAATCCTTTTAGTTTCTACCTACAACAAAATGAAATAATAATCAAATATTACCCACCCAGGCTTCTCATCTCTCATCTCTTGTAAGTGGTTTGAAAGTTACCATGACCACTCTAACAACAAAGGGGATAAAAGCACCACGGACACAGCCCAGCTCTGATTCTCTTTCTTGGGGTGACTTATTCTTCATTTTCTACTTGAGAAGATTGGTAGTGATGCCATCTGGGGACAACTTTCCCTTTTTTATTTGGGGCACGGAGAGACAGGCTTTCTCTATTCTCCAACAGCTAATACAAACATTTTGTAGGTAGGAGCTATATCTCTAGCTTCCCTAACTAGGAAGAATCTGATGTTTTCATTCAATCTGGGTCATCTTTTCAGGAAAAGTTAATCCTAACTCTTTCCAAATTACTCACAGAGCTATTCCTACTCAGGAGGGAAAAAAATGGCATTAAAAGAACACTCTGTATTGTGCATAGGTCTAAGGGATGTCATGAGCTAAATATAAGAAATGACACAGATAAAGAGACTGCTACATGCCAATGGAAATACCCTCACGAAGTATGGGTATGCGAAGGCCCGTTTGGGTAGGACCTGCCCTTTCAAAGCTTCCTGTGTGACTTGTATTTTGGTCACTGGTTCCGATTTCTCCATTTCCCATTTCTTGATTTACAGAAATGAAGAGGATACTCAGGGCGGAGCTCTGACTCTCGTCTTGCTCTACTCTGGCCCAGCAGAACAAAGTTACTGAAGTGATGACGGGAACAGGGGAGAACAATGCTTTATTTGGGCTGGATGTTTCTTTCTCTTGTCGCAGGAGAGAGGATGAAAGGACTTAATATTTCAGGTAGGAGTTTTCACTTTTCGTGTTAACACTGCGAGTCTTGTGGTCAAAGCTTAAAGTGACAGATAATTGGGTGTATCAGCAGCGTGGCATGTCAATGCACAGCCTTTCCTTTCTACTGTTAAAAAGAGAGTAGGAGAGAAGCATTGCGTGTGAACAGCTTTCTGCTGATACCAAGCATTGCTGGGGGGCTCAGTTACTACAGCTGAGTGTTCAGTGAGCGCAGCTAAGGAGGAGTGAGCAATGGTTCGACCATCTTTCACAGGAAACCAAGGCGCTATAGGCCATGCCGAAGTCCACTGCGAGGGAATTAGAACTTGCACTTCCTTTCCCTGACAAAGTGGCCCCCGTGAAGAAGAAAGACACACAAGGAAGCTTAATCTCTTGCCAAATCAAGTACTATTTGTAAATATAAGTTAGAGTTTCATCTTCTAATGTGTTTCTGTGTTGTTTTGCTTATTGTGATTTTCAGATTGTTACACAAGAAAACTCCTTTGGATATATTCTTCAAGGAGTGATGAAGAGTTTGTCTTATTTTGTGATTTGCCAGAGCCACAGAAATCACATTTCTATCACAGAAGTCAACGCTTACCAACACAAGGCCCTGAACACCTGCCCTGTGGGGATAGTAAGGACCTGTCTGATGTCCAGTGGTACCTACAACCTAAGAGTGGAGATCGATTAGAGGAAATTACAGAAAGCTCTTCTCGCCACATCATTCAGGAGAAGAATACACTTAGTTTTTTGGCCCCAGAGATGAATACTGCTGGGTCATATATTTGTAGACCCAGGATTGGGTATGTTCCAATGCATTCCTATCTGAAAACATCCCCAAATCCTTTATTATGTGGATAAAGTATCTATGTTCACAAGACCTTGTTAATCTCCTAGGAGCTCTCAGGATGTGGCCTGTTGTGTCAAGACAGTCTTAGAAGTTAAGCTCCAGCCAAATGCATCTTGTGAGAACCCCGCATTACACAAGCAATACCTACTTCTTGGTAGCACTAACTCCATTTATTGCCCCAGTCTCAGCTGCCAAAGTGGTGTACAAAGTCCAGAGGTGACCTGGTACCAGGTGAGAATGAATTCTCTGAAATGAATATAATAATAACGTTGTTTTTATGGTAACTACTCTGCAGGTACTTTATAGAAAAGTATGTTCAAGAATCTGAGGTGTAGAACTTCTCAAAAACCAGCCCCATGCCTGTGCAGAACTGACTTTCTAAAGTGATCTCGGCCCCTGGATAGACACACAGAGCCTGATATTCTAATTATTAGAACCACCATTTTGATCAATGCCAGAAACATTTTCAAAATTCAAGTATATCACACATGAAGTAAGACATAAGCTTACATCTGGTAATGCAGAAGGACAGGTTAATTCATTTTTGCTGTCTTTAGAAAGCAGTGGGTACAGAGAAGGGGAAGGGGACACCAGACAAGAAAGTCTTAAAGGGTTTGTGAAAGAAATAGGAGACTGGAGTACTTTCCAAAAAGGACACATCTGGGAGGACAGTTAGGAGAAGCCCAGGGTGGCCCTGGGTAACAGGTGTTTTGTACAGGTGAGATGGTGGGGAGTGAGCACAGCGCTCAGAGAAAAAGGGAACAAGGGGTAAGTTTCATAATGATGTTGAGTCATCGACCGCATGTACACGAACTCCTGTAACAGAAACATTTCACATTTCCATCATGGCTTACAGTTTTTCCAAGTGCTAGCAGATGTGTAAATGCTGCTTAAATATCTCCTTCAACAGAGCCTTGTGTCAGTTAAACCCTAAGTGGTGGATTCTGGGAAGAGACTCTATACTGCTCCCCTCCATTCGCAATATCTGAAGCCCAATACTTTGCCTTAAAAATTATGCACAATTTGACACTCAGCTTTATAATGTTGTTTGTAAATTTAAAAATACCATTTAAAATTGCCACTGCTTAAAGTCAGAAAGGTGGATCGTGTTTATCTGGTGGTTTCATGCACCCCAAAATTTAAGAATCAGAGACTCCTGGGGGTGCAGTTAGGTATAGTTAGTGTGGAGAGAGAAGGCATTTCCTCACTTGATTCTTCAGACTCTGCGATGACAGGTGGACAGAAATAAGCACACGGACAGGGCGGATGGTGTGGCTGTGGCCTCACATTTGTATTTTAAAATGACAATGAGAGAATGGTGGCCTCTATAAAACTCTAACTCCAGAAACGTTAATTTTATAATCTCTAAAATGAGGTTAGTAAGAAGAGTCAATACTTCTGTTCATTATTTTCAGTTCTCTCTCAAGAACAACACTTCCCTTGGTTCAAAGTATCTGTGATCAGGGATGACAGATGGGACGCTGTCTGGGTGGGCTGCTCCTAGTCCAGCAAAGCAACCTTGCCCCAGTTATTTCAGATGAAAACGTGTTTGAGTTTTCAATGACGGTGTACCCAACATGAAAGCTATATTCACTTTTCAGGTGAGCACGAGCCACGCAGTACTGTTGGCCAGCTCTCTGCATCTATTGCTCTTGTAAGCTAAACCCTAAAGCTGTACGGCAGTCACAAAAGGAAGTTTTCTTTCACTTCTCTGAAACTTCGACTGTAAACATAAGTATATGTTTAATGTTGAACATGCAGCTGTTCTAAAAGTAGACAAATGATAGTTGTTGTTAAAATTTTTCCTCTTCTGATAGAGATTTGGACAGGTCTTAGTTAAGGTTGTGTTTCATGAATTACACGTATGCACATACACAGTAATCTGGACATTGCAGACCTCATGGCAGTAGCGTATCACTAAAAGTGATGACATTAGACAGGGAATAACCCAAGTGTCCCTTTCCTTCATGCTAACCCCCAGTTTCTCGTATGGTAGGTGGGTCATACTTAAGATCTCTGAACAGAGGAAGCTGACACTTGTTGAGAGTATGAACATGATATTATTTAATTCGAATGAAACTGCTGACCAGGGATATACCTACAAGATGTACAGAATATCCAACTGAAATAAATCCTGGAGCTTAGAGTCTCTGGAGGGTTCTAAAATATTTTTAGTAGGTACATGAAATAATTTAGGATTGGAGATTCTTTTAAAATGTTCTTCAGCTGTTTTATTTTATTATGCTATTTTTTATTCTTTTAAATAAATCAATCATACTTACCTACATTTACAGGGTACAGTATATACAATTATGATGATGATGTGATGCTTTGATATATGTATACAATGTGGAATGATTAAATCAAGCTTAGTTATTTTTTGTGATGAGACATTTGAAATCTACTCTCTTAGTTGTTTGAAATATACAATATATTATTATTAACTACAGTTAGTCTGCTATGAAATAGATTTCAAAACTTATTTCTCCTGTCTGTCTGAGACTTTGTATTCTTTGACCAACATCTCTCCATTCACCCCCTTCTCCACTCAACTGAGCATCTGGTAATCATTATTCTATTCTCTACTTCTATGAGGTCAATTTTTTTATATTCTACATATGAGCTGTCTTTCTGTGCCCGGTTTATTTCACTTAGCTTAATGTCTTCCACATTCATTCATGTTGCTGCAAATGAAAGAGTGTCCTTCTTTTTAAGGATGACCAGTATTCAATTACGCATATATGCTATATTTTCTTCATCCATTCATCAGTTGATAGACACTTAGGTTGATTTCATGTATTGGCTACTGTGAATAGTGCTGTAATTAGCATGAGAGTGCAGATATATTTGTTTGAAATATTTATTCTGAATTATTTATTTCAATTCCTTTGGCTACATACCAAAGTATATATTCCAAAGACATATACCAATTCCAAAGGTGGCATTGCTAGATCATATAGTATTTCTATTTTTTAGTTTTCTGAGGTACCTTCATAGAGTTTTCAATAATGTCTGTCCTAAATTACGTTCCCATCAGCAATGTGTAAGAGTTCTTTCTCTCTTCTTCACATTCTTGCCAACATTTATCTTGTTTTTAATTTTAAAAAATTTAGGGGTTGTGCGTGTTTTTTGTTATGTGTATCGATTGTATGATGCTGAAGTCAAGGCTTTCATTGTATTCATCACCAGAATAGTGTACACTGTACCCAATAGGTAGATTTTTATCCCTCAACCCCTTTTCACCCTTCTCTCTGCTTAATTTTCAATGTATACTACAGCCCCTTATGAACATATGTTCCCTCATTTAGCTCCCACTTGTAAGTGAGAACATGTGATATTTACTTTTCTATTCCTAAGGTACTTTACTTAGGATAGTAGTCTCCAGTTCCATACAAGTTGCTGCAAAAGACATTATTTCATTCCTTTTTATGGCTGAGTAATACTCCATTGTGCATGTGTGTGTATGTGTGTGTGTGTACATCATATCTTCTTTATCCACTTATTAGTTCATTATTAGATACTTAGGCTGATTCCATATATTTGCAACTATGAATTATGATGTGATAAACAATTGGGTGAAGGTGTCTGTTTTGTAAAATGACTTTTTTTCCTTTAGATAGACACCCAGTAGTGAGATTGCTCGATTGAATGGTAGGTCTACTTTTAGTTCTTTGAAGGATTTCTGTACTGTTTTCCATAGTGGTTGTTTTAGTTTACATTCCCACTAACAGTATATGAGCATTTCCTTTTCACTACATTCACACTATCTGTTGTTTTTGAATTTTAATAATCACCATTCTGACAGGGGTAAGGTGATATCTCATTGTGATTTTAGTTTGTATTTCCATGATAATTAGTGATGTTAAATATTTTTACATTTTTTTTTTTACTATTTGTATATCTTCTTTTGAAAAAATCTGTTCATGTATTTTGCCCACTTTTTGGTAGGGTTATTTATTTTTTTCTTTTTGATTTGTTTGAGTTCTTTGTAGATTCTGAATATTAGCCCTTTGTCGGGTATATAGTTTACAACATTTTCTCCCATTCCATAGGTTTTTAATTTATTCTGTTGATTATTTCCTTTGCTGTGCAGAAACTTTTTAGTTTAATTAAGTCCCCATTTATTTATTTTTTTTTTGTTGCTTCTGTATTCACTTTTGGGGTCTTAGTCATAAATTCTTTTCCCCTCTGCCAATGTCCAGAAGGGTTTTTTAAAAATGTTTTCTTCTAGAAATTGTATGGGTTCAGGTCTTAGATTGAAGTCTTTGATTCATCTTGAGTTAATTTTTGTATATGGTGAGAGATAGGGATCCAGTTTCATTCTTCTGCATGTGGCTATCCCGTTCTCCCAATACCATTTATTAAATAGGGCATCCGTTTCACAATGTATGTTTTTGTCTGCTTTGTCAAAAAGAAGTTGATCATAGCTATACGGTATTATTTCTGGGTTCTCTATTCTACTCCATTGGTCTATGTGTCTACCTTTTTACCAGTACCATGCTGTTTTGGTTACTATAGCCTTGTAGTATAATTTGAAGTCAGGTAATGTGATGCCTCCAGATTTGTTCATTTGGCTTAGGATTGCTTTGGCTATTTGAGCTCATTTTTGGTTCAATATGAAGTTTAGTATTTTTTTAATAGATCTATGAAAAATGATGTTTGTATTTTGATGGAAATTACATTGAATCTGTAAATCACTTTGGGCAGTACTGGCATTTTAACAATGTTGATTTTTCTAATCCATGAGCATGGGATGTTTTTCCATTTGTTTGTGTCATCTATGATTTCTTTGATCAGTGTTTTCTAGTTATCCTTGTAGAGATATTTCACCTCTTTGAGTAAGTATATGCCTAGGTATTTTGTTTAATTTGCAGCTATTATAAATTGTATTGAGTTCTTATTTTGACTCTCACTCTCTTATTAGTATGTAGAAATGCTATTGATTTGTGTACATTAATTTTGTAATCTGAGAATTTACTGAATTTATTTAGCAATTCTAAGAGTCTTTTGGTGGAGTCTTTAGGGTTTTCTAGATAAAAGTTCATATCATTGGCAAACAAGGGTAATTAGACCTCCTCTTTCCTGATTCGAATGCCCTTTTTTTTTTTCTTTCTCTTGCCTGATTGCTCTGGCTAGAGCTTCTAGTATTATATTGAATAGAAGTGGTGATAGTGGACATCCTTGTCTTGTTCTACTTCTTAAAGGGAATTCTTTCAACTTTCCCCCATTCA